ATCACAAACAAGAAACTATGGGAACAAACAAAACAAGAACCAATCACCCAACAAATATGCAGGAGAAAGTGGAGATGTGGTGAGAGTGGTCTACTAGCCAAGTGGTGGAGAGTAATTGAGGTCAATGTTTATGTATCAAATATTAGTCATGTTGTGGTGAGAGATGGTTGCTGGCCAGATTGGTTGACAGTAATTGAGGTCAAAGGTCAAGGTGGACAGGCGGTTGCAGTTAACATATAGATGAACTGACACAGCCACAAGAGATGCAAGGTTAACTTTGTGTGAGAAACAACCAATCAACAGACTGTATTTTCTACTAACATTGACCTACAATAATGTACATAAAAATCTATAAATACGTGTTGATTTTTCGTAATAAACGATCTGTTGCCTGGCCCTTGTCTTCTGTTGTTACAGAGATAGATTGGGCACTCGCTGAGGAGGCCGCTGGGTGACATCTCGCGTCAGACCATAGCTGGAGTGGAACCCGAAAGGGAAGCGGCGAGTGGGACGTCGAAGGGTGACATGGAGGAGATCGTGTGAAGAAGAGTTGAAACAGCATGGAACAACATGGATGCAGGTGAAAAGTACAGCAGAAGAGAGAAGCAAGTGGAGACGTGCAGTTGAAGTCATACGCTCCACTAGGAACCCAAGGGAACAATAATAATAATAACTCTGTAATGTATTTTCTCTGCTGTCTTTACTCAGTAAATTAGATGCAGTAATATTGTACAAAATGTTTAAAATTCTAAACATTGTATCATAAATACTGTTTTAGAATAAAGCAAATTATTACTATTATTATTATTATCACGATTACCACCTCTGTGTCGTCACCCTACTGTCATTTAGTAACCTGATTAATATGAATAAGTATTCATCATTGATTCATCGACAGAGATGAATTGGAATGTATCTACGATGCATACACACACATTCAACACATATACAAACATACATCAATACACAGACATTGAGTACTCATAAATATACACACTGTGACACTATTGTGTCTATACTGGATAGAATACCAATCACCCTTGATAAATGACCTATAAAATCACCATGATATGTGTTACAAAAAATATTGATTTCTCGTCTTCTACTCTTTTTTTCTCTCTCTTCTGTTTATTAATTTATGACCTCACAGAGTAGATTAAATAATTATACAAAAATTCTTTGAGAAAAATAATCACTAGTGTAATTTGTAATCACGGGGTGGGGGTGAGGTGGAGTTATTGATCTCTTCCAGTATCACTATGCTCAAAAGTTGATCAATACAGCTGAATCGATCACACAGAAATAGTAGCAAATAATACAACAAAAAAATAATAGTAATAAATTAACGGCTATTAATCAAGGCTTGCTAATAAAATAAAAGAACCGGAGTTATAAAACATCTGTATGAGTGAATCAAAGGATTGGCATTTATGGTTAGGACTTCGACAGATACAGAGCTAACTGATTGACATCAATTTAATATATGCACAAAATTTGGGCACTGTTGTCATATGTAAGTTTATTAGATGGATGTATCATACAGTCAGTGAAACAGTATAATTATACATTGGATGACGAAGTTTCGAACACAATTTATTATTGTACATAATCATCAAATCACCAAGGTGTGTAACTACACAAATTCGAGACTTTCATTTCATACATCTCCTTCTTCATTCCCATTCGTCTTTGTAGGGGTAGTCGAATTTTCCAGATATCCGGGTGGATAGGTGTTGAATCATTTCAATTACATGTGTTTTCAGTTGATTCGGCAAAGTAAAGAACTTGAAGTTATGTTTTTACGAGTTGATCACGGACTGATATCAGTTAGAGAACCATTGAAAACCAGGGAGTACTGGACAGCTGCTGTTTCATCCTAATCTGGGAATCATCGCCAGTACGTGCCCACCGACAGGATTCGAAACCAGGACCTTCCGGTTACAAGGCAAGCTCGTATACCATTCAGCCACTGGGACCCGATTCAATGGCTCATGAATTCTAACTGCTACCAATTCGTGATTTAGCGCGACCTCAACCATTGTCGTTGGTGGGACATCCATCCACACACGTGACATCTAATTGGACCTCACTTGTCATGAATTCTCACTAGAACTCCAGGAAACTCCATCCTGTAGCAAGTCACTAGCGAGCATCACGCTAAATCACGAATTGGTAGGAGTTAGAATTCATGAGCCATTGAATCGGGTCCCAGTGGCTGAATGGTATACGAGCTTGCCGTGTAACCGGTAGGTTCTGGGTTCGAATCCCAGTGGATGCGTACTTCCGATGATTCCCAAACTAGGATGAAACAGCAGCTGTCCAGTACTCCCTGGTTTCCAGTGGTTCTCTAACTGATATCAGTCCGTGATCAACTCGTAAAAACATAACAAACCCTTACAAACCAAACTATAGAAAATTTGAAGTTATAACAAAAGTGTCACTAGAAGACACAATGCTATTTGTACAGCTATGTACAGCTATTCTCAAGGGAAATACACAAATAAAATGAAGAGATTTCTTTGGAGTCACCAATATCCCTGATATTTGCAGATATATATTTATGGATAGGTGGGGATACTTAGCGATTGAGACATTCAGCCCCACCCCGAAAGTATGGTGAAGGTATGTAAATGACACATTCATCATACTTAAAATACACGACACAAGTACACTTGTCGAACACATCAACTCGAAGGTAGAGGCAATTCAATTCACTTATGAATTAGAAAGTCAGAAAGGGGAGCTTCCAATATTAGATTGTAGCGTAAAAAGGAAAGAAGATGAGAAGTTAAACACTAGTGTTTACAGGAAACCCACATATTCAAACAGATATTTGGATTTCCGATCATCCCACCCTCTGTCAGTACAAATAGGACTGGTGGAAAGTTTTATTAATAGAACACAAAAACTAAATAGTACCTAGGAAAATCTAAGACAGGAAGTGAGGCATAAAAGAGGAGAAGCTTTGAACCTTAATAATTACGCTGATAAATAAATCAGGAAGTCTGTAGGGAAATGTAAAACCAAAACTAATAATAAGAGTAGTATTGATAGTGATAATAATTATATTAACGACCACATGCATGTCAGACATGCGCAGGAGAATGACAACACCAGCAATAGGGAATATAAATCATCAGTAGTACTTTCATAAAAAGAAGGAACGTCGGAAACCTTATGCCGGAAAATTCTTCACACAGCAGGAATAAAAGTGGCTGGCATTCAAACCCACAAACTCAATTAGAAACAAGCTTTGTCGGTCAAAGGATCAGTCTTAAGACAGTCAGTCAGTTCTTCAATATGTGTCAGAAGCTTGATTCATGCTTCATGAATAGCATTTCCAACAGACTGCAGACGCTTACCGATAACCGCCTTCACTGGCTCCGTGCTGAAGGTCAGATGATTGGCTATAAAGAATTACGAGTTGATCACGGACTGATATCAGTTAGAGAACCATTGAAAACCAGGGAGTACTGGACAGCTGCAGTTTCATCCTAGTTTGGTAATCATCATCAGTACGCACCCACTGGGATTCGAACCCAGAATTCATGAGCTATTGAATCGGGTCCCATTGGCTGAATGGTATACGAGCTTGCCTTGTAACCGGAAGGTCAACTCGTAAAATCATAACAAACCCTTAAAAACCAAACTATAGAAAAAATATAAAGAATTAGCAACAGGAAACTCTAGGAACGAATCAATCAAGAATCTTTGGCTCAGCAAATATTCCGAACATAATGGAGATACATTGGACATGCGCTGAGGGGACCATCGGACAACATCACCCACAGTGCTGGTCATCACTAGAGTGGAACCCAACTGGAAAACGACAAGTTGGGCATAGGTCCGAGGGTGACATAAACGAGATCGTGTGAAGAGGAAATAAGAGCCAAGGGGCAGTCTTTGGACCAGCTAAAGAGGACCGGAGAGAATGGCATAATGTGGAGATTTACTGTTGAATCCCTTTGTTCCACTCGGAACCCAAGCTATTTCATTACAGTATTAACAATAAGCACAAAGCTATTGAAATTCAAACAATAGTTGATCAGAAATTCCATTCTACTTTGAAGATATTCAGCAGTATGTAGCAACAAGTAGCAATTAATCCTTAGGGTTTGCGGTGAGCTTTTTTCAACTCGACTACTAAATCATATCCCGACCGATAGCTGCTACCTTGACGTGGTGGTCGGGCTTGCATATCGCAATGACCCAAACGAGCTACTCTGGCTGGAACTTATGTAATAATAGTAATAATAATAAATTCTGCCAACTTGTCGTTGCAGCTTGTCTGTCGATTGTTAGATATTTATCAGTGAGTAAATATCCATTTATCAAACCTCATAGTACACCGTTTATAATAATAACTTCAGAAAATTTCATCACATAAATGGGAACTAATGATTTTCTCACCGAACATCAATAAATAAAGTTCAGAAGTGTCTTTATCATTGATAGATATCATAGTCACTCATTCAACGGTCCAGTATCCATCCTAGTTGTATTCCAAATCAATATGTGATATTTGTTCTTTAAATTCATTGATGTCAGTGTTCTCTATTCAGTGCCCTGTTCAGGCAGTGACCTGGGGTTCTAGTGGGAAGCCGTGACCAGTAGGGTGCAGCAGTAACTTGTCGAAGAAGACAATATGAAGTGGTCGCGACGTATAGTGAATTGGTAGAAGTTGGAATTCATGGACTGGCAATTGGATCGGGTCCCAGTGGCTGAATGGTCTACGAGCTCGCCTTGCAGCCAGAAGGTCCTGGATTCGAATCCCGGTGGGTGCGTGCCACCGAAGATTTCCAAACTAGGACGAAACAGTTGTGCAGTTCTCCCAGGTTTTCCAATAGTTCTCTAATTGATGTCAGCTCATGATGAAATCCTCTAACCAATCAAACTAAATCCCTGCAAACCAATACTTGAAGATATAGAATAATGAAAATAGTCAAAAAGCCTAATCAATACTGATCATGTTATTATTATTTTTTAAAATTGATACTTACTCTCCAATCATTCATTTCTGGCCGATTCTCTGCATATTGAACTTCTTGACTTTTAATTACTCTCTCCGTCTCTGAACTACTTGTCTCACATAATTGTGGATGTTGAATCAATGATTCATTGTGACTGTTGGCGACTATTTCTGTCACATGTAAATCTTCTATACTACTAGCATCACTAATACTAGTAGTCATACTTGCATTGTCCACTGTAGACGGTTGTACAGGTTGAGATAATGGTGGATTATTACGTAATACATAAATTTCTCTGTCTCTGCTGTTATTCGGTGACTCATGAGTTGCTGCTGTTTCACTTGTCTGTCTGTTATTCGTATTATTATTATTGCTGTTTGAGTTTACATCGTTATTATCACTTGACTGGATTCCACTTAAACGATTTGTATGCGACACAGTATTCGTCACCACTGAATCATGCAATGCAGAGCCATCCTCATTTTGTCTATTCGGCATCGCATCATTTTGCACACGTCGAAGTTGACCTTGATAAGGACCTCTTGTCTGAACAACTTGTGTTGCTCTAGACGTTTGCACAGAATTCACTCTTGCCTGGGATCGAATAATCTGTGAACCACGATCAGTTGTTGTATCTTCATTTGGTGAACGTAAAGAAAGCGTTTGAGCTGTATTCAGTGTCAATGGTTGTTGAAGAGCGTTTCGATTTGTTGGATTTGTAAAGATGATTGGTCGATCACCAGGATCATCATTTAATGGGGATGAAAGTGAATTGTTCAAATTTCGAAAACTAGAAACATCAAGTTCTAACTGACGACGTTGTTGTGTATTCTCTAAATCTGCTGATAGTCGATGAGTTCTATTTCTTGATCTTCGAGGACGAAGTAAGCCAAACATTGGAACTAGAACTAAATTTTGACGTTCAACAAGTGCATCTTGACTAAGACCATTACTTCTATCATGAAATGATCGACGGATATGATCTGTAAATCTTTCGTCAACTGGTACATTTAGCTGATGTAAATGATTATGGCTAAGTCCTGATCTCAAACGGATATTTCTCGCTAAAAAGCAAAATATAGATGAGATTACTAATCATTAAGATTCACTGGTATGTTTCATTTAATAACAAGAGTTAGCTGGAGATAAAGATGTGCTGTGTAGTATCAAAAACCAAAAAAGTATTTTAACAGTCCCAGAAAAAACGAAAACATTTGCTTTTCGATTAGGTCACCAATTGAGATGTAAATTCATGGAGATATAACGAAGTTTGGAAACTACTTCTGGTTAGGCGAACTTACATAATGGAAACATACTACGCCTCCAGCCTCTGAATAACATTTTATTGACACAAATTATTCAGCCGATTTGTGGAAGACGAGTTTCTGCAGTGGAACACATCAACAAGCACATATACCAATCCACTTGTTCCTGTGGAGCTAAGTACACTAACTGTGCCATGCGTCCGCTTGTAAAACATGTTCGTGAACACTAGTGGACCTGACTAGGACGGAAGTTTGCCTTCAGTTACATAATAGAACATCTTGTAAACTCACAACTCTCAGCTCAATTTGAGATAAACTTCTAAGTCTCATACTGCATGCAATCAAACCTCTCAATGAGAGTAGGACCAAAAACTCAAGTCAAAGCTGTGTATCCAAAAGAAGTACATTCTGCCTTTTCGATTGCCATAGCCATCATAACCAGTCCATTTTTCTCTAGAAAACCAATATTATTTAATTAGGTTCATTATCTAAACTTTCGGTCTAATTTCTTATTTCAGTCTCCACTGGTATTGCATAATTCTGGAATTTTCTCATCCCTCTGTTATGTATTTATCATTGTACAGCTTAGTTGATGACTTAATCCGGAAGAGATATTTGCCATACACTTGGTTCCCTCGGTAAATTTAGATAAAGAAAGAAAGACCAAATCTGAAGTAAAACATGATATCATCATTCTATTTTACAGGTCTTCATCAGCTGCTGTAGACTACCTGAAATTACAGTGGTTATAAGAATGAATGAAAATAACATACTTCAGAGTGTGAATGGTAGTAGAGAAAGTGTTAGAAAAATTACGCAACCAAAGTGTAAGCATATCAATTTTTGGTTTAAGTTACCATCAGTGACAATTCTTACATTTCGGATGCATTAAATTTAATAATATTTTGTAATATTCAAGCATTGAAGAAAAAGTTTCCTCTAAAACGTTCTTTTATTTTTTCCCTTTCGTCTGATGGGCATATTAGATTTAATCTCGCCTAGTCTACTAGTTCGCTAATCTTCTAACCTGTCCCAAGCCTAGAAAAAGAAGGCAGGTTGCGCTTAGGGCTAGCGACCCTACCCCGGAAAATCAATCCATTCACTACAGAAACTTTAAAACATCACAAAAATATAAAAGAAAGAAACATAGTAAAAGGAGACCAAAAACGTGTATACAGTTCAGTGACAGAACATCTGGTCAACTCAGGACATTCAGCGTCTTTCCAAAAATTTTTCAAAGTAATTTACAAAATTCAATCAAACCTATCAAAGGGAGTAAAATCAAGACATCTGGGCATAGCCGAGGCACTAGCCATCAAAAAGCTCAAATCCACGCTATGTATCCAAAAGAAATACGTCCAAACATTGTCCCTGCCATGGCCATCATAAACAGGTAATTCTTTTAATGGTGTCTATCCCATTGCCTTTCTTATCTAAACTCCCTGTTCATTCATGTTATTTTAAGTTTTTCTTAATCCCTATTTAGACTACCATATTTTCATATCCGAACTTCCTGTCTGTTTTGTCATTTTATTATTTCTACATATTTAATCCCTAACTGCATAAACAATTATTCGTCACATTAGTTATGATCCCGCTAGATTTTTTATCCAAACATCCTGTCTATTTTTGTTATTTCTACATTTCTAACTACATTTCTAATTAAAAAGACAATTGCAGCGAAGAAAATTTTCTTTTCGACGAAGTCATCATTTAGGCTGTACATTCGTGTATTTATATCAAATGGATAGGAAAGTTCCAGAATAATTTCTGGTTAGGGGTCAAATTAATAAAAAATTACAATTAGGAATTAAAATGACATAACAAACAGGGGGGATGGGTAAAACTAGAACAAAGTAGCATTATAATAACTAAGACGATTAACATTGTGCAATTGGGGGTTAGAAATGTAGAAATAACAAAATATACAGGATGTTTGGATAAAAAACTAATATGATGAATAATTGTTTATGCAATCAGGGATTAAATATGTAGAAATAGTAAAATGACAAAATAAACAGGAAGAGTGGGTATGAAAATATGGTAGTGTAAACAGGGTTTAAGAAAACTTAAAATAACATGAATAAACAGGAAGTTTAGATAAGAAAGGTGATGAGATTGTCATTACTAAAAAGTTTTACCTGTTTATGATGGCCATGGTAGGGAGAGGGGTTGGACGTAATTCTTTTGGATACAAAGTGTGGGTTTGAGCTTTTGGATAGCTAGCGCCTCAGCTATGCCCAGATGTCTTGATTTGATTCCCTTTGATAGGTTTAATTGAATTTTGTATATTACTTCGAAGGATTTTTCGAAAGGCACTGAATGTCCTGAGTTGACCAGATGTTCTGTCACTGAACTGTATACACGTTTTTGGTCTCCTTTTACTAGCCAGGCTGGGTAGTGTTCGTGAGCGCGTTTTTCAAGTCGGCGCATGGTACGGCCGATGTACTCAGCTCCACAAGAGCAAGTGAACTGGTATATGCATGTTGAGGTGGCCCAATGCGACGGCTTGTCTTTCACGTTCTGGCTGAACAGTTTCTTGCAAGAAAACGTCAGTCGTAGGCTCGCGGCGAAGTATGTTTTCCTTAGAGATTTGCAGAGACGTTTGCGAAGGATTTCTGCTTCGATATCACCTTTGAATTCTAGATTAAGCAGAAGTGTTTTCTTTGGAACGGATTGGACTTGTTCTGAAGTCTTAGTCTTAGATTTGAGATTTCTGTCTATGAACCTGGGCGGGAAACCGTTTTCTATCAAGGTTTTTCGGAGATTACGCAGTTCTTCTTCAATCATTTCTAATTGTCAATCTTCTTAGTTATTATAATGCTACTTTGTTGGAGTTTTGTCAATCGCCCTGTTTATTATGGCATACTAATTCGCAACTCCATTATGGATAAGATTTTATTTTGATAAATCACACAGTGTTATTTTTCCTTCATTTATTCATAAATTTATTTACAAAAAAAGTTGTGTGAGTAACTTGATATGATTATGAGCAATAATTTGTGCCCAAAACGTCATCAGTTAATATTACTGTGTAACACTGTGTGATTTATCAAAATAAAATCTTATCCATAATGGAGTTACACTCTACCACAGTGCCCAAGTTTTATACTTATATCAGTAATACTAATTCGTAATTGTAATTTTTATTAATTTGACCCTTAACCGGAAATTATTCTGGAACTTTCCCATCCATTTGATATAAATACACGAATGTACAGCCTAGATGATGACTTCGTCGAAAAGAAAATTTTCTTCGCTGCAATTATCTTTTTAATAACTCCTGTGACCCAATATGTATATTCGGTGATAAAAAGAAAACTTATTCTTCTTGACCGGAATCAGAGAGACGGAATGGTGCATGGGTGATGGAAGCTTTTGGGAAATCAGTCGGCCGAAGTGTTTTCTTCTGGCGAAACCAAAATAAGCATGGGGACGTCATGAGAAGCATTTCTAACAGCCAGCTGCAGAATTCATCAACAGATACCACCTTCACTGGCTCCATAATGAAAGTTAAATGGTCAGCGGGAAAGAATTAGCAACAAGAGCATATCGCTTTTTTGAAGTGGCGTCACATTTATCCAGTGGGTATTACAGCGCTTCAATAAATAGGCTAAAATATACCAGTAAGTTGAAACATTGAACGTATGTATTATTGAATTTTCCTGAAGCATTCGGTTTGATTGTTAATTCTCTCACCATAATATGTTATGGTTGTACATAGAATTATACTGAAAAAGACATCCTAATTTTCGAAGCAGACACACACATATATATATAAAAGTGAGAGATCTGATGAATTCGCCTTTTAATGAAGTTAGATTGTATTTGAAAGAGTGGTTCTAATACATATCCCCGCTAGTTATAGGATCATAGTCCGTTACTATGGTGACAAGATATACTTTTTAAATGCTTTTTAAGGGAAATGTCACATTAAAGAACTTATTTCTGGCGCAAATATTATCAACGGTATTATATTCTTGAACTGAGTTACATTTGCTACGCTTTCATCAGAAAATGTTGTTTGACACTGATATCTCTGCAATGTAGTGGAAATTAATGTGGTCAGTAACTGAAATCGTTGAACGTTTATATTATTGAATTTTTATGAAAACATGCAGATATAATGTAGCCTGTTTATTGAAGCGCTGTAATACTCACAGGATAAAGGTGACGCTACTTCAAAAAAAGGGATATGGCATATATAATAATCCGATTTTAAATATCACAGAAGTCAAAAACTTCTATATAAATGTGTGAAGCAATCACTTGTGAAAAGTGTGAATTTAAAAATCATTTAATTGTAGACGATATGAAAAGTTGTTTAGTATGGTACATTTTATGAACAACTGTCTTCGTTCTATACTGAAGATCACAGGGCCGGAAAGAATCACCAACAAGAAACTATGAGAACAAACAAAACAAGAACGAATCGCCCAACAAATATGCAGGAGAAAGTGGAGATGGATTGGACACTCGCTGAGGAGGCCGTTGGGTGACATCGCGCGTCAGGCCAGTGCTCGAGTGGAACCCGAAAGGGAAGCGACGAGTGGGACGTGCAAGGGTAACATGGAGGAGATCATGTGAAGAGGAGTTGAAACAGTATGGACTAACATGGATGCAAGTGGAAAGTACACCAGAAGACAGAAGCAAGTGGAGACGTGCAGTTGAAGCCCTATGTTCCACTAGGAACCCAAGGGAGCAATAATAATAATAGTACATTCTATGGAGTATTTTACTCTGCAAATCAAAGGCTTCGGAGGAAGTGATACTCATCAGTCAAACACTTTAAGAATCCTGAGAAAAATAATTATTTCACACAGCTCCCTCCTGGATCTTTTCAAGATAAAGTTGAAAACTTTATCACAGTATTAATGAAATGATGAACAGCTAATAAGACAACGATTCATGCAGTCTGAAGTGTATCTACCAATGTTAAGAGTAATAATTACATGACAAAAACTTGGTAAATTCTAGTTCAATTATACTAAAATACTAATTCAATAAATAATTACATACCACTAGCACTTCGTTGTAACCAAAATCCTGATGGATCATTTAGATGATTCTGTGAACGATAATGTCTTGTATTACCATCATGCAGATAGATTATATTTCTATCATCTTCAAAACGTGGAGATAAATCTTGATTTCGTCTATTCCGACAAGAAGTATTTCGATGATGTCGTCTTTCTCTTATGTATACTTCTGGTTGATCTGGTGATGTCGGTGAATGATTCGGTGTTGAATCATCTCCACTTCGAATATTTCGTTGACTTTGTTCTGCTTGTTGTTGGTGTTGGTGTTGTTGATGATGTGGTTGTCGTGTTTCTTGATGCATTTGTGATGACTGATCATGTTGCTGTTGCTGTTGGTGTTGTTGTTGTTGTTGAGACTGTTGCTCAGATGCTGATGTTCGTTGTGTTCGATTTATATTGAACATGATAACATTGTTAATTCAATAATTGGCGGTTTAATCAATTGCGGCTTAAAAATCACAACGTTTAACGATGACGATGAAATTAAAGTCCTGAAAAAGAAATCATGCAGATATCCATTACTTGGAATTTGACAGAAACAGACGAAATGCCTATATAATCTAAAGAGAATACCCATAGAGACTAATAATATTGTATATTTATTCCTATCTATGTAAGACACACCAGTTGTACAGACATGGTTAAGTATTATTTAAATTACATAAATTTGGTTTATGGTGAAATTACACGCTTGCTGTCTTTTTTGTCTGTAGTTTTTGGTAACAATCTGATAACTAGTCATTCAATAGACCACATCAAGAAATACAGAAATATTGTCTTCGCATTAACAAAAAAAACCCAAGTATGTGTTGGATGGATTACAAATACTTGGGAAAAAATAAAGCTTGAGGTCATTTCCCCCATATAACTTTGGTGTGTGCTGCATCGAATCTTATTCTTCATTTATATCCAAATTGGGTATTAATTTAAAATAAGTGGTATATTTGAATAATTTTCTCAGCATTTTCATCGTAAGTAACACCAGAAGTGAATTGTACTCAATGCAGACTAATATTGGTCATTGTCAGGCAGATTTGTTTAACTGCGCTGAGGTCAGCCACCATTTGTCGCTGCATGGTTGTTCTGTACAAGTAAGTTGATAAACATGTAGAAAGCTATTTGTAAACCATTTTAGATCATGAATACTGCTTGTATAGGATGTTATACAGCGTCCTGATATGGTGACAGTGGAATTTTCAAGGATGTTGAGTTATTACTAGCCAAAACCTTGAAGGATGACATGGCATATACAAGTAAGTGGCTTCAAGTCCTGTTCAACTTCAGTCTTACTGTAGATCTGTGCAACTTCCACTACAAAGCAAATTCTCTAGGCTAGAGTATATTGCTAGAAACATATTCATAAATTTGTTACTAGCCATTTTGAAATCAAACAGTCCACAAATTCACTAAGATCTAATGATTCCCCAAATGCCAGCTTTTCATAGGTAATTAGGTCCAGTTAGATAATGCGTTAACATTCAAAAGATATAATTTGATAGATAGCAAACGCCAAACGTGTAATGCACGTTTTTATGATATTACATGGTAAGAGGCAATTCGCAGAATGCCTTGGACCTAGGTTTCGTGCTAGTTGGCACTCGTCAGCAAGGCGTATCTGCAACCTTGAAGGAACTCATGTCCCTTCTGAGATTCGTATTCGCGTCATCAAGTGCAGTGGTGTAGTTAGAGACGTTACTACTGAGTGATTGACCTCCTATAGGACTGTATTAGTTACTTTGATTGGACACTTTTTATACCTACCCATCAAAGAAAAACAGGTAATGAGCAGCAGTTCTCTGCTCCCTGCTTTATGGCTGTGAGACATGACTGTTGAAAGTAGGTGGAATGAGGAGCCTAGCCATCTTTGACTGTAGGTGTGTTCATTCTATCTCCCGTGTTAATTGGTATAATTTGATGAATAGTGTTAAGGTCATGTTTAGAGTACTGGGTGAGAAAGGTAAAGTCAGTCGATGAGGCTGTGAAACTACATATTGACCAAGATGGATATGCCATGTGCTATGCATACCAAGCCATTGCTTTCCTCAATTACCAGGGTTGGCTGGCATAGGATTAGGTCGGAAATGGGTGCAGTTTACAGTTTTACAAAACCACCACGAACTGATAATGCTTCTAACTCCTATACTTTATATTTCCTTCGGCACATGGTTTCAAATATAATATGGTATAAACCTTAAACAGGGTAGTGACTATATTAAATAATTTTGTTGAAAGCAAGAAATGGCTTGATTCTTTGAAGAAACAAAAGAATCCCACTTCTAAATCACGTGTTTTCTTTTTTTCTTTGAGATTCACTAAAACCCAACAGTTAAGTTATTGTTAAACAACGAAAATTAACAGTAATAACGCCTGAATACTTGTTCACTTATTCTGTGAGTAGATGCTACAGCCTCAACTGACAGAGCTTAATCAATACTAATAATGAGACAATTTAAACAGTGTTAATCTCAAGTGACTAGTGAGTGTCCGTGTATTTATTACAAGCATAAAGGTGGTCAACAAAGAGCCGAAAAGCTCATTGATAACTCCTTTTACTGTACCACTGAGTGACGGGAGCCTAAATCTGTGAAATGGTTGCGGAGAGAGTAGTAATTGCTAATTTTATGGTTTATTATTATTATTCCCTTGGGTTCCAGGTGGAACACTGGGTTTCAGCAACACGTCTCCACTTTGTTCTATTTTCTAAATTAGTATTCAGCTTTTCTCACGATTGCCCATAGTCTCTCATTTCCTCCTCACACCATCTCATCCATGCCACCCTCGGACTAAAGCTGCACTCATCGTCCCATATTCGCGCTCTACTCAAGCAATGGCCTGGTGTGCAACGCCACTCAACGGTCTCCGCAATGCGTGTCTAATCCAACTCCATTTTCTTCGCAATATTTGTTGAGCAACTGTTTATTGATTGATTCGTTCCGAGATTTTCCTGTTACTAATTCTTCTTAGCCAGTCATCCAACCTTCAGTATGGAGCCTGTGAAGGTCGCGGATTTTGATAAACGTCTGCAGTAGCCTGTCGGAAATACTTTTCGTGACGAGTTCCCCAAGTTTCTGACCCATGCAGAAGAACTGACCGACTTCAAGCTGAGTGAAGAAGATTTCCAGACTGATTTCACTTTGATGAAGGTGTGCCTTGCCTTTCCGATTCTGACTGGTTTTGACATCTTTATCCGTGCTCTCACCAGTAGTGGGAATGATGCTTTCTATATAAGTGAAGGAAGTAAACCCTGTCAAATTTTCTCCGTTGACAGTGATCTGTACAGGCTGTTGCTTGGTTGTTTCTCTTCATCACCTTTATCTTCTCTCTGTTCGCTTGAAGTCCCGTCTTCACTGGCCGCTTCTTCTGCCAGTTTGTTGATTTTCCTCTCTGAGTCTTCGAGTTTGTTTAAATTTAGACATAAATCACCCGCGAAATCTAGATCTTCTAGTCTTCTTATCGGTGGTCCAACTTATTCCTCTCTTCTCGACTAGTTGATAACGAAATTGTTTATTGGTAACTCTATACGCAGAAATAGACGAATTACGTCTACAATATTATTATGCTCATAATTTACACATATCTTCAGTATTGTGCTACTTTGTCTTTCACACTATACTTCTTTATCTTCCTTTCATGTTTTCCTTGTAGTTTTACAAGCCTTGATCATTAAATCCATCTCTCCGCTATCCCATATTCTTGCAAATGGCATACATATTTATATCTGCATCTATATACTACTTATAAATCTTGTCAGCAGCACACGCTACACTAAGTTCTCTTCACAAAATGAAAGTTCCCTGATATGGCATATCTCCTAGCTGGGTGACTCCACTGTAAAGTTGACTGATAGAATTCAGACAATAATAATAATGGCTTCATTTTTAAACAGTATTTCTGATACAAAGCAGAATTTTCAGCATGTAATATAATATTACATCTAATTTACAATATTACTCACCCTATTACACCTACCGTCTATCACGGGAGATAGAACACAGACAACTATGATCAAAGATAGCTAAACAGCCAGGCGTTTCATGTTTTCCGCTTCCAATGGCCATGTCTTGCTGACAGACATAAAGGAGGTTTTCACCACACAGAGTAAGCAAGTTATACTACTTTCCAGAAAAATTAGGCCTATTAGGTTCGAGTGAATGAGTCAGTCAGTGAGTGAGTGTGCCAATGTGTGTGTGTGATTGAGTGAGTGAGTGAGAGAGAGACAGAGAGATAGAAACGATCAATACTACTACTACTACTGTTACAACTACATTATCAATTTCCACGCTCATACATTAGAAAAACAAAATGTACTTATTTCTCCTTCACCTATGATTTGTATTAATACAAATTAGTTCTAGAAAAAAAAATTTATTCGTAAATTTTCACAGAACACAAAGTTTTGTGATTGTGTACGTAAATGAAGTAGATTGAATAAGACCTGAGAGAATGAGAGTGAGAGATAAAGAGAGAGAACAAAACAAATCAATATTAGGTTTCTTTCTTATTGTTAGATGGTTGTGAATGCACTATATTGGAACATTGAACAAAACTGTAACGTTATTTGTTTAAAATAACTGCAAATAGAGATATTATCATGTATCGAAATCAGTCAAAGAAATAATTTAGAAAGGAAAACCAGAATGTATTCGACAGCTGTTTCGGTTAAGTTTGTAAACAAAGTGATTATCGAGTTGGTATTTTTAATCCACACATAAAATTTGAGATCTTAGTACTGATGTATTGCTAATTATTATGGGCCATACGCAAGGCTTTTGCGAACTTTGACGCTGATATATTTCGCATATTATATCCGACTTATATCAGACCTCATTTGGAATATGGGATCCAGGCAGCGAGCCCGTGTTTCAAATACGAAATAGACTTATTAGAAAGGGTGTAAAGAGTAGGAACTAAGCTTATAAAGGGTTTCTCAACCCTCTCATATGAGGAGAGGTTAAGTCGACTGGGTTTATTTCCACTGTCATACAGACGACTTAGGAGTGACCTAATACTAGCATACCGTATCCTAAGAAATGATTTTGGAGCTAATTTATCTAATTTATTTCTTCCTTCTAGCACCAATCAATTGCGAGGACATCACCTCAAGGTTCAAAAACCACGGTCGAATCGTCTGCGTCTGGAGATCCGTTTTTCGCATCGAATTGTGAACCATTGGAACACCCTACCGGAACACGTCGTATCAGCGCCATCCGTTGATTCATTCAAGGCGAGATTGGACCTCCTGTGTGCAACAAATCCATAGGATTAACACAGGCATATAGCCTACTATCCTAAATAAATTGTTAACTGTAAACTGTAGTGATTAACTTCAAAATTGGTTCATCAAGGTTTACTGAAGAGATCATAACAGTTATTATTATTATATTATTCACTAGGGTGCTGAGTGCAACACTGGACCCCGGCAACACATCTATACTTTGACTTTTTCTCTGTGGTGTTTTTCAACTGTCCCACAAGCTTTCATTTCCTGCCG